CCCCAAAACCCCAAAACCCCAAAACCCCAAAACCCCAAAACCCCGGTTATAAACCTTAGTTGAATTTGTAAAATTTATATCAAGATGAAAGAGAAAGAGAAAGAAAAAAGTCATATTCAAAAAATTATTGATGTCTCCACTCCAAGCCAGGTCTTCTGCCTTGCCATAACACTGATAATATTGGGTTACATCCCGAAGTTGATTCACAGTTGACATTCCTACACTAGATTTAGAAGGTTAGAAAAACCAGAATACACACATGAATCACTCGAAGACTTCTGGATGGTAATCCCTTGCTCAATAGTATTGAGATCCTTGAAAATCTTTCTGAACATGTACACAAGAGACTTCTTTAAAAGAAAACTTGAACATAAGTATTCAGGAGATGAACTTGACAGGAAAATCAAAAAGTGAGTTAAGGGGGCCTTTAAAGTAACCTTCTTCAGCTTTACCTTCCTTTTTGGACTGTTCAAAGTCTTGAGAATGACCAACTTTGGTCCCAACATGATGCTTGGAGGAGGAGAACTACTATATACTTTAGGTGATTGGCCATTTATACCAATGCCGCCAGCTTTGAAGTTCTACTACATGCTGTCCTTGAGTTATTATGTGGAAGATGGAATAGTCCATATGTTCATGCCCCCTAATTATGATTATTGGGAGATGATTCTTCATCATGTCATTAGTGCTATGCTGATTTTCTCATCTTATATGAGTGGCTTCTGGTGTATCGGAATCTTCGTCCTCATCCAGATGGACTTTGAGGACATTACTGTAGGCATCATCAGAGTTGTTATGGATTTCGCATCAATTCCTATTTTGGCAGTTCTCTATGTAATATTAATGTCAGGGTGGTTCTATTTCAGATTTGTTTGCTATACTCTTTGTGTTCTTTGGCCATTTGCAATGGGAGCCAGGACCGCAGTAGATAATTACCCTGATGTTGTCACTGTGATCGCTATCTTACTAGTGACTCTTTTAGGCCTGAATATCTATTGGTTCGTCCTTCTGCTTAAGATGGGGCTTACCTTAGTTAAAGGAAAGCCAAAAGATTTGCAACATGTTGTTTCAAAGAAAGAAATGGAAGAAGAAAATTAGAATTTGGCAATTTAAGCTTAACCTTTCATGATAAAAATAGGAATTTCTTTAAATTTAAGTTCTAATTAAGGCTTTTATTGTGAAGGAATGCATTCCCGTTGGTCTCTTTGAGAAAACCTCATTTTTAATGAAAAATGGCTATAAAGTTGTATTATTACGTAATTTGATTTTTAGATTTTAATCAATTCCGTATGATGATAATGGGGTTTTGGGGTTTTGGGGTTTTGGGGTTTTGGGGTTTTGGGGTTTTGGGG